TTTTTGACTTTTTTTGTTTGTTTTTTATTTTATTATAATTGTTTTTGTTTGTTTGTTTTTTGGGCTGATGTGCCAAAAATTGTGTTTGCATTCAGTAGCCTATACTGCAGCATTTCTGTGCCATGTTTAAAAATAACTAAATAAGTCAAATTAATGTCATACTATTTTAAGAGTAAAGTTAAAATTAAGATAATAAAATCATGTTATATAATGTGAAAATTCCACCCATAGGCCTACTCCTCCAAAAAAAATGTCTGTGGCATCCGTCATTCTTTTGACTTTTTTTAAAACTCTGATCTATTCATGAGACATTCGTTTGTATTAAGTTATTCTGATTTTTTTTAACATGCATTCACATATTCATGTTTATTTCGTGATGCAAATATTATTTGACTTTTTTTAAAACTCTGATCTATTCATGAGACATTCGTTTGTATTAAGTTATTCTGATTTTTTTTTAACATGCATTCACATATTCATGTTTATTTCGTGATGCAAATATTAAAGAAGAAAATATAATTGATTCATATGCAGCTTGAAATGAGGCGAATTCTCACTACAAATTAAAGAGCGTAAAAAGACGTTAAGAAAAACATTAAACTTTGAACTTTTATTAACAAAATAAATAAGGATATGTTTTACTCGCGTTTAACACAAATAGATAGCATATGTCCCCTTATTTAAAACGAATGCTTAGTTTGTGGTTCATTGTTATTTTTTTTAACCCAGCAACAAAGACACTCACTTACAGGCTATTAAACGAATAAATGAAAGTTTTATTAACAAAAGTTGCGCTTTGGATCCGCCATCATATAGTGTCAGTCCTCTCGCATCACTCTTGTCACGTGAACCCCCACGTTTTATTTCTCAGCCCCCCCAGCTCAAAATACGTTCCCGCTGTTATGTATATATATACAGGTGCATCTCAATGTCATGGAAAAGTTCATTTATTTCAGTAATTCAACTCAAATTGTGAAACTTGTGTATTAAATAAATTCAATGCACACAGACTGAAGTAGTTTAAGTCTTTGTTTCTTTTAATTGGGATGATTTTGGCTCACGTTTAACAAAAACCCACCAATTCACTATCTCAACAAATTAGAATACTTCATAAGACCAATAAAAAAATTTTTTTAGTGAATAGTTGGCCTTCTGGAAAGTATGTTAATTTACTGTACATGTACTCAATGCTTGGTAATGGCTCCTTGTGCTTTAATTACTGCCTCAATTCGGCGTGGCATGGAGGTGATCAGTTTGTGTAGCTTAGTGAACCAAACTGAGAGACCATTTTGAAGGCTCAGGAAACCTTTGCAGGTGTTTTGAGTTGATTAGCTGATTGGCATGTCACCATATTCTAATTTGTTGAGATAGTGAATTGGTGGGTTTTTGTTAAATGTGAGCCAAAATCATCACAATTAAAAGAACCAAAGACTTAAACTACTTCAGTCTGTGTGCAATTAATTTATTTAATACACGAGTTTCACAGTTTGAGTTGAATTACTGAAATAAATGAACTTTTCCATGACATTCTAATTTATTGACATGCACCTATGTATATATATATATATATATATATATAATCCAGCATTTTTTAGAGTGTAGTTTTATTCATCAAAGAATCCTGATAAATAGTTGCTTATCACAAGTTCCAATAAATATTAAGCAGCACAACTGTTTCTAATAGCCTGATATTAAAGCAGCATATTAGCATATTAATTTAGCATTTTTTTTAGAGTGTATATAAGTATTTACTGTTGTTTTTTTATATAAATGTATCATATCCTTGCTGAATAAAAGTATTCAATTCTTTCAAAAAATAAATAAATAAAACTGACCCCAAAATATTGTTAGAAAAGATTTCTGTTTTTAATAAATTCTAATGTTTTTAATTTTCTTATTCATCAAAGAATCCTAATACAAAAAAGTATCACAGGCTCCGAAATGACTGGAGTAATGATATATATATATATATATAATCCAGCATTTTTTAGAGTGTAGTTTTATTCATCAAAGAATCCTGATAAATAGTTGCTTATCACAAGTTCCAATAAATATTAAGCAGCACAACTGTTTCTAATAGCCTGATATTAAAGCAGCATATTAGCATATTAATTTAGCATTTTTTTTAGAGTGTATATAAGTATTTACTGTTGTTTTTTTTATATAAATGTATCATATCCTTGCTGAATAAAAGTATTCAATTCTTTCAAAAAATAAATAAATAAAACTGACCCCAAAATATTGTTAGAAAAGATTTCTGTTTTTAATAAATTCTAATGTTTTTAATTTTCTTATTCATCAAAGAATCCTAATACAAAAAAGTATCACAGGCTCCGAAATGACTGGAGTAATGATGCTGAAAATTCAGCTTTGCATCTCAGGAATAAATTACATTTTAAAGTATATTAAAGGAGAAAACCATTGTTTTAACATTTCACAATATTACAGTTTTTACTGTATTTTTTGATCAAATAAATGCAGCCTTGGTGAGCATAAGAGACTTCTTTAAAAACATAAAAAATTTTACTGATCCCAAACTTTGTAATATGATATTCATTACTAAATGAATATTAAAAACAAAGACTTTGACCTATGTTTTTCATAATATATTATGAAATATATTATATATTGCATAACATATTATATACTCCTCGGCCCAACACTATACACTCGTTTAATTGTTATTCACCATTATAATCTTTCTCTTCCTGTTGATTCCTAAACCCCCATTCTGAACATGTTTACTTAAATTCGAGATGAAAATAGTACTAATTATACTTGCGCAATACCCATGAGAGGAATTACCATGTTTGCACGCAAATATTTAGACGTTCTGAAGCTTTTCTTGGAGATGCAGTGGTTACTATGATGATTGTATGATATGGCTTTCAGAGTCATCTGTGAAGGGTCGTGGAGAGATGCACAGACCCTGTCACTGTCCCATGTCTCCTGGGTCTGGGTGGTTCCTCTCAAGGAGGTCTTTATCAGCTTAAATTAAAACCAGTCCCTCTGCTCTCTTTTCTGAGTTGGCTTCACGTAAACAAAGAAACCTACAGCACAAACATACAGATCATATCATAAACGCAACCTCTCTTGATTCACTTTTTCTTCCTATATGACAGAACAAGAAATGTGAAATTCTTATTTTCAATAGTTTTCTTTTGAGCAGCGTAGAAACCAGCTCGAAACCTACATGAAATCTGCGTGGCAATGTGAAATTCCCAAATACGTGGACAGTGTAGTA